AAATGAATAGTTCCATGCATAGTACAATTCTTCTCATGTTCTGCACTACCACACTGAAAGTATCAGTGTTTACAAACAAACAAGTTTCTTTATCTCTTGCAGTTTTGTGCGGTCGCCGCGCGGTTGACGTGCGTACGACATTAGTCTCATTTTTGTCGTCAGGTGATCTGGACGCACATTTTCTTTGCAATATTTTGAGTTCCGTAATTTTTGTTGCGTTATTACGTACTGTTTCTGAATGCTCCATCGAATGTGCGCGAGTGTTGTGCGGCGTTCGTTGCGGATTATACGCAGAGGTAAAGCGTGTGTGATGTTCCGTCAGTCGTCGGATACTCTTTTTGTATGATACGCGTATTTCATAATTTCTACAATGTACATAATTAAGGTCCTTACAATTTATTGGATAGGCCAAAAGCGCAAAAATTAATTTTGCATCAAGGTATGTTCTCGCATTTCTTAAACCATTTGAAAATCAAATCCATTATTGCCTTTACTTCTTTTTACCTTAACTGTGTGGTCTTTAAACCTACAAATAATTTTTGTCTCTGTTTCAATAAAGTTGATTTAGATTTCGTATTTGATACCTTGTTTTGTTTTTGTTTAATGTACAAATCAAAAGATTAAGATAGTCGCATGCCGTCGGCTGCGTTCTTGATCCTCTGGCGGCTTTCCGGGCTGGTCGCTGGTTATTTTACATGATTTAAAATAAAATTCTGCTTTGTGCTTTATTTTTATAATATCCAACTCGTCACTTTTCCTTCATATCCAAAGAAAATACAATTTTTAAAATGTTATTTTTTTATGTTTTCTTAGTTTTCACTTTTCTTTGATTTCCGGTCTAAACATTTTGATTTTTTTAAAATTCCCGATGGCTTCCTTCTCATATTATCTTGTTATGGTCGCCTTGTTAATTGTTTCCATCCGTTTTCCTGCTTAAATCTTAATTTTTCTTTGTGTATCACCCAGTAGATATATTTTCCTTATTATTTAATAGACCATATTTATTAGTGTTTGGGCATTTTACATTTAATTTTATCGTTTTCTCTTTACATCACCCTGAATATTAATTTCCTTTGATTTTACTTGGACTGTGTTTCCCTACTTGAATTTTGCATTTTCTCTTTAAATGTTATTATATTGTTTTTCGAACACGAAGGTTAGCGGTAGAAGTGACTCGTGTTCAGGGCACCGCACGAAGGTAGCGGTACAAGTGACTCGATTCAGGGCACCGCACGAAGGTAGTGGTAGAAGAGACTCGATTCAGGGCACCGTACAAGGGTAGCGGTAGAAGTGAGTCGTATTGATAAAATATAAATTATTTTTGGACGTTTTAGCCCAGGAAATTTTATTGTTTTATACTTTTATCTGATGGAGAATTTCCCAAAGTTTCATAATCTTCAAACCCTTGGTCGCTAAAAAATACTCAAAAAAATATGATGCAGCACCTCCCTTTGCCCATTTAAGTGAATATTTAATTTAGGCGCGATATTGTGAACACCAATTACTTAATTATCTAAGGTACACAGTAAACTTTTACGAAGACAATAAATTATTTATTTGTATAAGTAGATTCCGTGTATATGTGCAATTTCAATATTGAGAATTTTAGTTTCGTCGTCTCAACTACGTGTTTATTAGTACGTTTGTGTATAAACAACTTTTTTTGTTCGACTGACGCGTGTTATCGCTGTGTACCTGCCTTGCTACGCGTCGTGCACACGGCAGTCGTTTCACCGCGTGGTCCGCAAACGTGTCTCCCTAATCGCCATGCGTTTTGAGGTTTTAATTGTATTAATCGTCGTGTATTCTTTCGGTCATCGTCAAAATATTCGCAATGGGAATGTGTGCCTGTTTTGTTTAATGATTTATGGCGGTTAGAGTCCTCTTAAGTGAGAAATAAGTGTTCGTTAATCCCTGCGCGAGTTTTCAGTTGATAGAATATATTTCAGGATAGAAAATCTCCACATCAATGCACAGGTTGGTGGATAATTAAAATTTATCGCGGAAAGTTAAGGCGGTTTAACTTAAATTAATTATTTAATTTGACGGATATTAATTTTGTAGATTACAAACACGTGGTGCCATTGTTATCAGAATTCTTCTTAGTCGCGTTTCCGAAAATAACATGCTTCATTTAATTATTACAAACACGGTTTTTAAAATTATCTGAGGATTATTGAAATGACAATATTCATGTGGTCGACCACGCTTACTTTGCCGTCTGACGTCGGTTCGGTCATGTTTTCGATGATCACGTAAACATTTTTAATCGAATTGCATCATTAAATTAATAATTTATTGTTGAAATAAAATCTTGAACCTAGGGCTTCACACGATACCGAGACTTTTCTCGCATCGTCTCGCTTTTCCGAGACGAGAACGAGACGATACGTGTTTCAACAATTTCTCAGCCATACCGAGACCACAGTCAGAGTCTCGTTTTTGGTCTCGTTAATTTTTTTTATTAAGTTGTTATTAGAAAAATGAGAAAAGGTCCAATATATGCCAATATATCTGTGAAATATTTCTTTTGTATATTCAAAAGAACAAGTCAGTAACCGAATATCATGACCTTTTTGACTTTTTGAAAGTTTTATGAAAATTTTGTCTTTGTTTACACATCCGGAAACATATTTTTGTGTTTTTCTGTACTTCTTGAAACAAAGATATTGCATACCCCGGATATGTTAGGAATTGTAGACGTGCGCCGCTTACTTTCAACACGAATCAACTCGATTATTGTACCCTAGTATACATTAACGTTTAAAAATTTGAAACATTAAAAAATATATTTTCAATTAAAAGTGATGCAATCAGAAATTAATATTTTAAACTATGTATGTATTTTTTTACTTTACACGAAAAGCAATTAGCAATTAAATGACTAAACTTTTGAACTGCAAAGATCTAAAACTGAGTTCTACTTAGAGCTTCACACGATACCGAGATTTTTCTCGTATCGTCTCAGTCACGTATCGCTTTTCCGAGACGATACCTTTGATAGTCTCGTCCAGTCTCGTCTCGTGTGAAGTATGCAGGTCGTAAGTTTTGCTTCAATATGGCAGCACGTATCCTGTTGACTTGTAAAATATAAACTTGTATTCTATTGCTAATAAATAAATAGTAAGATATATTCTTTGATTTGTGTACCCCTTCTATAATTTCAGGAACAGGTCTCTAAGAGAGTTCCCTCTCTCAGGGGATGATCCCCACTATAAAAATTGTTAAGGTATCTTGTGTGATTTGTGTGCTCCTTCTTTCATTTCAGCTACAGGTCAGAACTTGTAAGAATATTTTTTAGTGTCACCTCTTTTGAGGCGACTTAAAACTTAGAAATATTTGAACAAGACCTTATAAGGATTGTCCTTATATGGAGTTCCCTCTCTCTGGGGGTGATCCCCCACCATAAAAATTGTTGATATGCCTAAGAATCCTGGGGATGAAGCGCAGAGATATCGTAGCTGTAGGGTGGGCCGGGAGCGATGGACGGATCGAAGCAGTACACTGTCTACCGACACGCGCCAAAAAATTTAAAAATCTGATCCGCTCCTGTTGCTCTTTCTTCTATCTCCTCCTCTTCTTCCCCACTCTGTTCTCTTCCTTCTGTCTTCTACTCTTCTCTACTATTCCTTCTTCGACTTCTCCTATTTCCCCGTTCTCCGTTTCTCCACTTATTTCTTCACTCTTATTTCTCTTATTGCCTTCACTTGTACTTCAATTTCTCTTATATTTCATTGCAATTCATATATGCAACCCAAATTACACCTGATATTTTTATGTTTGAGAAAAATACCTTCTATACCTGGGATTCGATCCGTGTCTGCCAGCATGCCAGCAGATGCACGTCTCCACTCGACCACCGAGTGTTTTTATTATTGTTATTTGATTCTTCTGTATATGTTTCTACTTTAATCAACTTTTTAAAAACAATAACACAAGCCTTAGATATGTGCACACGCTCCACGCACTGTACTATACTATGGTGTACTCTTAGAGTTCAACTTGACTTAATACTAATCCTGAAAACCATCAACTGAACTCTAGGGACACATGTAAACAAGAATGTAAAATTAAATCTTTATTGACTGAATCATTTTCAATTATTATAAAACAATAACACGGTGTAAGATTTAAAAAGTAAAATAAAAGTAATATTTTATTTGATGTTACTTACTCCTTTGTTCTTATAATTGATGATACACACTTCTTTTCTATTCCACGCAGATATTCTAAATTTATTCACGTCAAACACATAAATTTAACTTCATTTAACTCCAGTAAGTATCCATAGTCACCGGAACATATCCGACGGACGCGCGATCCGCATAGAATTACTCAAATCAATCGTTGACCGCAGTGGGCTGTTACTACTAAATGCGCCTGATCGTCAATCGATTTAAGTAATGCTACAAAATATCAAGAATCGCGAGAAAGTGCCACCACGTTTGATTAATGAACAAAACACGTGCGCACTCGCAACAGCGCTCAACCGACTAAGCCGAACAAGCAAGACAGATTGATAACCGACCCGCAGTTGGAGGAGCATCTTTCTATATGCATACGGCAGAAATGCGATTCCAATCATGTTGCAAGTTGTTGTTAAACATAAAAGAGTTGTATAAAAGTGATGTACGCACCGCAATTCAGTGCACAAAAAACAACCACAAAAATTAAGAATAAATTTAAACCAAATCGATGAAAGCGTCATCTGACCGTAGCAGAACAAAACAAAATAAATTGCTGACACTAGCGCGATCTAGGTGTGTCGCTTACAATCTGACGAAAGAATCGTTGTCCTAGGACATTCCGGTCGCCCCCTAGACATCTACTCATAAAACAACCGAAAATTAGCATATCGAAGCACAAAAATGAAATTTGCACAGGTTTCCTGTGTGCTAATCACATAATTTATTTATGAAAATATTAAACAAATTCAATACTTACAATATGATAAAAGAATCGTTGTCCTAGGACATTCCGTTCGCCCGCTAGACAACTAAAACAACCAAAAATTAGCATATCGAAGCATAAAAATGACATTTTCACAGGTTTCCTGTGTGTTAATCACACAATTTATTAATGAAAATGATAAACAAATTCAATACTTACAATGTGATGAAAGAATCGTTGTCCTAGGACATTCCGATCGCCCGCTAGACACCTAAAACAACCGAAAATTAGCATATCGAAGCACAAAAATGACCATTTCACAGGTTTCCTGTATGGTAATCACACAATTTATTAATGAAAATGATAAACAAATTCATTACTTACAATGTGATGAAAGAATCGTTGTCCTAGGACATTCCCTTCGCCCGCTAGACACCTAAAACAACAAAAAATTAGCATATCGAAGCACAAAACTGACATTTTCGCATGTTTCCTCTAAGCTAATCACACAAATTATTTATGAAAATGATAAACAAATTCAATACTTACAATCTGATAAAAAAAATCGTTTTCCTAGGACATTTCATTCGCCCGCTAGACACCGAAAACTACATAAAGTCAGTACGTCAAAGCACAAAAATTATCTTTTTGCAGGATTCCCGTGTGCTAATCACACAAATTATAAATGTAAATGATATACAAATTCAATACTTACAATCTGATGAAAAAATCGTTGTCCAAGGACAATTCGTTCGCCCGCTAGACACCGAAAACTACCAAAAATCAGTACATCGAAGAACAAAAATTATCTTTTTGCAGGTTTCCCGTGTGCTTATCACACAAATTATAAATGTAAATGATACACAAATTCACTACTTACAATCTGATAAAAAAATCGTTGTCCTAGGACATTTCGTTCGCCCGTTAGACACCTAAAACTACCAAAAATTAGTACATCAAAGCACAAGCGTACGAGTAGCGTACATACGCATGGAAGTAAATTTAAATAGTCTTCTATAAATATATTACTTTTTATAACTGATTGTTGATTTACTAAAACACGTCAACACGACTGCATAATTATGAAATCAAAAGAAAATGAGTGCTAAGAAAAATACGCTCAATAAAACCCACGATCGACAGTACAAACCTTACAGTCTGCAGCGAGATTGAAAAGCCATATTAATTTAAGGCAGAAATTGTAATGTAAGAATGTTTATTAACTTACTGGTTCATCGGGTAATCACAGAAAGTACTGAAACAGAAAAAGCACGTGTGTTTGAACTTGCATTATGCTGCACACTTATTAAGTACTAGCTTTATCCCGCGGCTTCGCTCGCGTTGAATCCATCAAATAAATATTAGAAATCATTATACATAGTTGAAACGGATTGATAGAAAGAATGTATATTTCACTGCTTGGCAAGGATTATCTATGTGAAAAAATTACTACATGCAATAAAGTTTTAAATTTTAGATGGAATGCTAGATGGCGTTAAAGTAGTCAATTAGCCAGATGCAGAGGTATTATTGGCTAAACAATTTCTTTATTTTATTTAAAAAATATTTTTTTTATTAAATAAAAAAGTAGCCTATAACCATTCCGGGACCATCGGGGACCACTAAGAATATGTGTACGGATTTGATGTTGACGTAGCTGTCGGTAATACAGTGTGATGGTACTATAGTACTTAGGTGTGAGCTTCATTGCTGGAATGCTAGATGGCGTTAAAGTAGTCAAATAACCAGATGCAGAGGTGTTAGTGACTAAACAATTTCTTTATTTTAATTTAAAAAATAATTATTTTTATTAAATAAAAAGTAGCCTATAACCTATCGGGGACCACTAAGAATATGTGTACAAATTTTCATGATGATCTGTTAAGTAGTTTTTGCGTGAAAGCACGATAAACTTCAGGACATACGCATTTATAATATTAGTAAGGATGTTCCGTCGTTTAACGGACTGAATGACTGACAATATTCCCGTGAAATCCTGTCGACGACAGGCGTTAATTATACTTACTTGGAATTATCAATAGGATACCTATTCCTTAGTCCAATTATCAGCATCAAAATAATCCAATAAAAACACACGAGTTTTATCAACAATTCACGAGTAACTCATCATTTGCAAAACACTGAAGACATTTATTGTCATTAACTGCCGATATTTATGTCGATATTAATTAATAAAATGTTATGCAATACTCGTAAAATCAGTCGTATTTAATGAACAAACGATCATAAGCCGCGTGCAAATAACAACACAATGAAACGTTGGAACGTTCGTAGCACGAGGGAAGCATGAAACTGGCTCATAGCGACAAAAAAAGTTGTTTAGACGAGTACACTAACACCAATAAGCATGTGGAGTTGAAAACGAAACATTCTGATATTTAGGAGTAATACAATTTAGGAGTAATATGTAATCTTCTTGAGAATTCTTCAAAGATCTAGTGTAGGATCCTTGTTTTTTCTAGCCGTTTTAGTTCTCGAGATATGTACTTACAATGTAATAACTTAAACTTCGACCTTAAAAATAAAATAAAAATGTTCAACTTTATTCTTTGACCGAAAATTATTTAAAAAAAAATCTTGTTATTATAACAAAAATAATTTTTAATAGAAAAAGTTGACCCTGTTCTTTGAGTAAAAATATTTTTCCAAAATTGTTTGCCCCTGCATTTCAGTCAATAAATGAAAACTAATCAATGCATTGTCAAAGCCGACATTGAGAGTTAAATCAATCCTTCACAAAGGGAAAAAGAAAAGTAAAAAAAATGTTTAAATAAAAATTATTCATTATTTACATACCATTTACATACTCACTTATTTTATTAAGTAAATAAGCGTATAGCAATGGGTGGAAAATCTGTAAATACCTGAAAATACATAACAAACAGCAAGGAAGTTTTGTTATCTTATTTTTTTCAAAGCACATTGCAAAACATATTGTTCCTACGCCCACGCGCAATCAATTCGACGCAATCTAACATATAAACGAAGCTATTGAAAGAAAAGCAAACGTCCGTAATTAGTCCAATTAACATTAAGCCTATATTTGGCCTTCCTAGTATGAAATCATCCATTCTGTGGTAACTGCAGTAACAGTTGTAATAATGATTACATCGGATGACACGTAAAGTGAAAGTTGTTGAGTATGACACGATAGAGCAGTACGCAATTAAGTATTAATCATGTTTGAGTAGTGATGATCACGTTATTACCATAGTTGACCATTCCATTGCCTGTCGTGTGTGCCAATTAGATTTCAATTTCATCTAACTAAACGCTAACACTCAACAACTCATAAGAACCTATGAACATTCAAGCGCGGAAATCCAAGAAATTTTCTCGCACTCGAGCAATAACTGCGAGCGGGGACATGAAAGTCCTTGGACCACGATGTGGTATTGGTCAAAATCAACGAAACAACTAACAACATGCAGTGCGACTCAAGCAAGCGTCCGCGGCGCATATTATTCTATATCCGCGCGTTTAACGTCGTCTTCTTTAGCTAGTAATATTCCACAAGTGAATTTTGTTTTTAATTAACCTACGGTTACACATTTAATTGGTAAGTCATATAAAAAATAAAAGTCATACTTTAAAAGCGTAAGGAAGATTAAAAACAAGGTTCATATTAGTACCGCATATTACCAATAAACGTGGGCAAGAGTGGTCGTTTCGATAACAATATAACAACTATTTTATGTAACACCTTAACAGTATGTTATTGTTACGACTGGTGCACGCCTTTTAAATGAATTCTATTCGTTCTGACTCACGAATTCAACCTTCTGCACGTGAGCTCACTGTTTACTGTTCTTGCAAAAGTGTGAAAATTACCATCGTTAATTTACTCGCTAAGTTAACAATAACGTACCTGTTGGAATTCACATGCATGGCATGGTTTTAAACGTATACAGGTGGTCTGAAGATATAATTATGCAGCGGTGTGTTGCAATCGTCGGCCGCATTAATTCTTGATCCAATGCCCAGTATTCTTGCCTCAAGGTTTGCGTTCCACCACGTTCCTCGAAAGTGGAACAGCGCGCGCGCGTGCGGTTGTTTCAAAGTTCTTGTTGCCTCTTCGGCGCCGCAAGTCGTCAACGAGTGTATTGGCGTGGTTCGCTTGTTGCAAGCGACAGCGAAAGTTGAATTTCTAATTTTAAAATTTCGGTAAACGCGTGTTTGCCGAGGCGCTGGACAAAAATCGATAGTTTTGCATGCATATTTAGACCTTGCACCAGTAGCGTGCTACAAGTGCGTTTAAAAGTATAAGTAGTGTATACATACGTGCGTGTGAGTACTTACAATAAAAGATCTTTGTTTACAATGCCGTTTTATTTTAGATTTCAACCATGGGGTACGGAAGCCATATGGATGGCTGCGGCACTTTTATGAAATACTCCATGTTTATAATAAACTTCATTATATTCGTATGTACTGCAACCAAACACTGGTAAATATTATGGATATTGAGAGCACTAAAATATTTAATTTTAGCTTGGTGGTATTACCGTTGTCGCACTTGGAGTATGGACGGTCGTGGATAAATCCTTTGCGAATGAATTATTGGGCACGAATATGTACATCGGTGCCGTTTATGTACTGATTGCAACGGGGATATTAGTCTCGGTGATTTCATGTTTTGGTTGTTTTGGTTCGGCCAAGGAAGTGCGCTGTATGTTGGTAACTGTAAGTATTCCCGATTATTATTCAGTAACATTTGTTCAGTGAATTTTTGAAATATTTCAGTACTTCATCTTCGTATTTTTAATCTTTGTCACCATGCTGGTTGGTGGTATTCTGGGATATGTTTTTCGCGCCAAAGTCGAAACAACTCTTCGCAATGAAATGATTGGTTCCATCCGATCGTATGGCAACGATAGGCGAATTTCAGAAGCCTGGGACGAAACCCAATCTCGTCTCCATTGCTGTGGCGTCACCGACTACCGAGATTGGCACGATAAGATTCCGGACTCCTGCTGTCGCGAACCGGTTCCCGGAAAACGCCAGCGATGCAACTTACTCGTCGAAACCCAAAACTCTTTCACTCTCTACAACAAAGGATGCTACAACGTCACCGCTGAATATGTTAAGCAAAACGCGGCCATTATCGGCGGTGCTGGTATTGTCGTCGCTGGCCTTATGGTACGTACCAATCTATTAATCCTACAATTTTAAATGTTAATATTATTGTTTTAATTTCCAGCTCATTGGTATGATTTTCTCATGTGCACTATACAAAATGATTGAATAATCTGCACGTCAAGAATCTCACAGTGATGGCGAGATGAATACTGTAATATTTTGTTAATTAAGTTAAGTTATGTGTAGTAGTATGACAAAAAGTTAAATCCACAAATAATTCAAAAGAAACCACGCCTGGACCATGGTGCCGTCGTAGCTTTAAACTGGATAACATAATCAACGTAGGTGCCATACAGTCAGTAGCAATAGTTATGAATTCCGATTTGTAAATCGGGAATATGTACAAAGATAAAGTCGGCCATTTGTTACTTCAAAATACTAACAAATAATGACTGTGAGAAATTTAATGTGGAATAAATGTTTTTTGTATTAACTAGCTTCTTTTATATATACCTATACAGTAGAATCTTGATAACTCGAACCTTGTTAAGTCGTAATCCTCAGTAACTCGAAAAGATATGCTATTCCCTTCCGCTGAACCCCGAACGACGCACTAACTCGAATTTTTTAGACTCAGTAACTCGAACAATAAGTTATTTCCCTGTGAGGCATTACTCGTACATTTTAATACTCAGTAACTCGAACTGCAAATACTACCTCAGTAAGTCGAAGTTCATAAAATTTTATGATTTCTTACTCGAGATTCCCGGAGCTCAAAACTCGGGATTCCCGGAGCTTAAAACTCGTGGCAATAAAATCAAAAAGGAATGTTCGGGGCTCGGGGCCTCTTATCTATTGTTTTGTTTTGCACACGTGCAAGGAATGAATTCATTCAATAAACTTTCTAATTTCTAAGAAACACAGATGTTATGTTTCTTCATTTTTGGTCACTTTTGGTTACTTGGCTCAGTCAGTACATATTTGTTTGGCTGTTAACAAGCAACAACATGAGTACAATACAGCAATTGATACACTACGAACTTACATTGAAAGATGTAATGATATCGAGTATCATATATTCGGTTCACTATATGAACTAGAAAAAATAATTGATAAAAAATCTGTAAATGGCTTGAATCAAACGAAGATAACAGATTTTTTATCAATTATTTAAAACATACAGTGTAAGTTCATTCATTATAATTATGTACCTGACTTTCATTTTATGTTACCTAATGTAATTTGTCGTAATAAATGTTCTATGAAATTGTGCCTTTTTATGTCGAAATTTGATGAGTTAACTCTTCATATCTCGAAATTCTTGTTAAGTCGAACACTTGCTATCTCGAATTTTTTTTGGTTTCCCTTGACATGAGTAGGCGAGTAGGCACACGCCGGAAACCGGGAACCGCTCTCCGCCATCTTTAAATGCCTGCACCTCAAGAACTCATTTTGCCACATTACCTACCTTGTGTTAACTGCTAACATAGAAGGGACAAAAAGTCTCGCCTGGTCAAGACGCAGGTTACTAGGTTTCTTCCTCTTCCTCTCTCCCCAGTATATCGCTTCAGTTTTGGTCGTGTATAGGAAATGCTCACCCCAAAACTCTTATCCAGTGTTCCAGGGATCGTAAATTTCTTCTTTTTAGTACTTTTTGAAACTCTTGTTGATATTAAAAATCTAATATCGCAACGTGGAAGTTTTTTCACAACAGAACACATATTATTGCCTAGTGCGTGATGAATATAAATCAAAGCTGGCATTGAAAGCACCTAGGTAGATCAAGGGTGTATAAATACATAAGAACAGATTGTATATCTAACATTGCTTCACCTAAGTGTGGGTTTCACCAACTGAAGTTTGTATTGCATGTATAAAATTAATAAAATATAATTTTTTACCCAATTGTTTATATAAATGTGAAGCAAATACTAAATTTTATAATGGTTACAAAGTTCAGGTCCAATTTAATCTTGTAAAAACGAATATATGTGGTCCTGTGGCGCAACGGATAACGCGTCTGACTACGGATCAGAAGATTCCAGGTTCGAATCCTGGCAGGATCGTAAATTCTTTTTACCTCTGCACATAAATAAAATACAAACTGTCAAGTGTTGCTCATCGCAAAACTACATTGCAATCATCTCTCGTATGTGTTGCATTCAAATGATTTATTTGTCCATAAATTTGCCACATTGCAACGTAGACCTCGAATCTAGTTGTCACTGGTGCAGCAACAATAACAATACAACATAAAGATATTAGTTATGCATGACAGCACTGCCAGCTATTAAATTTAATTTAAATAATAAATAGTCAACGATGTGTGGTAATCAGACAACCTTAATAGTACATACTTGAAATATATTGCATGTAATTAAAGTTTATATATTTATACAACATTTATTCATACAATATTTTAGATATAAATCTAATTTTAGCAAATATTCAAGGTTGTTATCAATCATTGAAATTGAATCGCCTGGTTTAAATGATTGATACATAACTCTCAATATTATTGTTCAAATATGGCCTTTATACCTATAAGTAAGTAGGGTATATAAAAGTTATAAGCCAGATAAAAGTAGTCTGCAATTAATTCTCGAATTGAACACGTACAGGAATTTTACTAAACAAACTACTCAGAGAAATCTACTACATACACAATTAAGTATAAATTATATTACTTCGTTATTAGTATTTTTTGTTGTTTTGTTGTGGAGAAATTCGACTGTACAGTACCCGACTAAATAAATTGTCATCATTTACTCCATTAGTTTGTTTCACATATATTTAATCATAAATGCAGAAAGGAAGCTCTATCTAAATAGTTTAATTTTAAATGTAACCTAAAGTAGTTTGAAATCTCCACGGTATGTGAAACAAACCAGACTCACACTCCCAGTTTTTCATCAATCTACTAAACTAATTGTGTATAAACAACGTACAAAAATAATGGATTATCCCTTAATAAGTACTTATATTTAACTAATTACCAATGTAATATCGAGCAAAAGGTGTGATTCTAGTACAACAAATAAATTGAGAAATTATACTAGAAGATTCGTAGCTTAAATTATACATATTTTCCTCAATAAATGCATAATTGTTAAATCGAAACAAAAAATTATCACAGTTTTTTTTCTCATTTCTTTTCGCTTAACATCGTAACGTGATTGCATGTTAAGCAGGAATTAATATAAATTCAAATCAATACTTTCTAATGCGAATTCATATACATATATGTACAATTATATTAATTAGCTCATTGCATGTGCTAGCATGCACATAATTAATTTATATTCATGTGATGAAAGTACAGAGCATAAAAAGTATTGATTTAAATAAATAAATTAAACAATATTTTTGGAAAAAATGGCCTCTGCACGCCGCATTTCTTGAAAAATTACACAGAATTACCAAACATGTAGGAATATTATAAAGATAAATGTACTTACCA